GCGAGTACTCGCAATCTCCTGAAGAAGATGACATATAAAAGGAGAGGAGCTTCGGGCTGAGAGCTCTCGGCTGCGCGAGGCTTCACGTTTAATTGCGTACGAAGGATATAAAGGAGGTAATGAATCTCTTAAAAGTCTCTAGAAAAGTTTTGTACTGCATCCTGAGAATGTATGGGAGAATAGAAAGATTTAAGGCTTGAAGTTATTAGCGAAGAGAGTTTTTATTCCATCAGACGATTAAAAATTTCTGTTTTTCGTAAAATCTTTTCATGAGCTGGCGATAATTTTCGTGCAATATTCAATTCATTTAATTTGCAAATAATTTTAGCAACAAATAAATTTTTCACGCATAATAAAACTTTAATGAGTCACATTAAAATATGCGCGGTTATCTTTAAACATTATCTCGTTTATTAATGATGTTTTGCAATAATTATATCAACGGGTGTTTTTTTATCTGAATTACACAACATTCACAGGAAATGTAAACATTTTTTTTTTTAAATAAACTTGTGAGGTCTAAGTAAAATTGATTAAGAAATACACTTTTGTCTTTCGTAAAATTCACTTTGGAAAGTATCTATAAATGTGTAAAGCATAATTTGATAACTGATTACGGATCTGAAATGACTTAATAACATTATCAGTCCTTGATAAACACTTTGTTTTTCCATTAGTTACTAATCATGTTGCACTTTGATTTACTCGTTTTAGCAACTTGCTAATTTAATTTATCCGAGAAAGATATTTGCGGTATCGTAATTCGGATAAAGTACTAAGAAGGATCTTCTCTTTCCCCTGGTAGCTTATCTGTAATCCGCAGCACGTGCTCGCATGTTTGCTGGTATGTTCTATCTTCGCCGGGTCTAATGCCGATAGAACGATTAGGACGATAACACGGTATGCATCTTTGCTTTCGCAGACAATTCCTTTATCATTGTCTGCGCGTGTAAACTTCACTTCGTGAAAGTACACGCGACACAATTTTTGCAATATTTGAGATAAATTACTTGCCCGGGTGAGAAAAATATAATTTCTCGGATCTTTCCACAGCTGAACTTTGATGAAAATTTGTTATTATTTTTTTAATTTTTAACATGTATGTAAAATTAAACATAAAATTAAATAAAGCTCTCGCTAAATAATAATATTTATTTATATACAATCATAATAGAATTTATATTTACACATATATTTATTAGTAATTTACACTATTAGTTTGAAGTTCAGTCGAGTACGAATTAATTTTCTAAAACTACTCTATTTAACTTTTTGTTTAAACATACGTTTATTTTTCGCATGATAAATTTTAATTAATTACAACTGCTGCAATTATATCCGGCTCAGATCGTGAAAGAAAATGTTGTTTTATTCGTGCACAAGGAGCTAATTAATTAACGTGTTCGATATTGATCTTGTCGCGAATTGAAGATACTAAACGCTATCAAAAATATAGATTTAAAAGATCTTGTTATCATTAAGCTACAGAAGTACAAGAAGAGGGGAGGAGGAAGGAGGTCTCAATTTATTCAGTTAATTAAATTTAAATCTTGATGACACAAGTGCTGCGTAACTTTAGTATTCTATGAAATACACTGATTGTCTTGATAGCGCGTTTAACGAAAAATTCTTCGCGTGGGACAAAGAGACAGAAAGCAATTCTTCTCGCGTGTTGCCTTTGTTACAAAAATAGAAGAGTCTCTCTCTCTCTCTCTCTCTCTCTCTCTCTCTCTCTCTCTCTCTCTCTCTCTCTCTCTCTATACTACGTCTATTGGCTCCGCTCCGCCGTGCGATCTCGCAGACGTCGGTCGTTTCGTAAGAACGCGACTTTCGCGGATGCAACGAAGGATGCGCGAAACAAAAGCGCCGGCAACGAATGCGAAAATCCTCGGGGGTTGCATCAGGTGGTCCCGACGGCTTTCCTTTAGTTGCATTCGAGCCCGTACGTGACGGCACGTATGAGTAAAAGTATGAGTAAAAGAGGCGAATATATATATATATATATTCTTACCGGAAAGTAGTAAGAGATGAATGATTTATTCTAAACTAAGGAAACGGGGACACAGAGTTGTGCGTTATGTCACCCGAACACGAAATCTGTATTATCTGTTGTTCGGATGAAGGAAATTCTTCTCAATCGTAGAAATTTCTATATATGCACGTATAGAATAACAAAGTCATTTTTAAAATATCGACTTCGTTTGACTCGTTTGACTTTATTTCGTTCTGTATGTAGAAGACAATAAAGTTAAATAAAAATATGCATATAATTTTTGCTATTTGAAATATTGTACTTTTATGCCATTAAATCAGGGATCCGTACACGTGCCATGAGAAAACGTGCCATGAGAATGCGGCGTTTCTCCTCGTTTTTTTTTTCCCAAATAGATAAACCGTCATTTATAAAGAAACGCAGGCATTGCACGTAGTAGCGGTAATAAAAGTAACAACGAGAAACATCTATTTGCGGCATTTAATCTCTTTCAAATTATGCTTTCTATTTTTTTGCATATTGCGATGCGCGTAACATGCATTCTCCTCGCTTTTTTTAAATAAATAAAATATTATTCGGGGGGAAAAGCAGACGTCGCAGCAACCAATACGGTGGTTGCAATGATAATAAAGCAAGACCGTCTATTTGCGGCAGTCACAATTTCTTTTATTACGCCTACATTTATTTATGGGAGGAGGCACGCGACGTGCTTCTTTTTGCCTTACTTTTTCCAAATAAATATTATCTAGCGAGAAAGGTAGATGTCGTTACATAGTAATCGTCAACGCTAATCATAACGAGCGGCGTATACAGTATCCCTCTCATATTGCGCTTTCATTTGTAGCTGTAGATAGGCAACGTAATGCGAATGTGCGGCAGAAGTTCCGAAGCTGTCGTATTTGTGGATATAAAGGAGTCGTCGTTTTAACGGAATAATACACTGGCACAGCAAGAGAACCGTTAGATCAACTAAGCCAAGCGTAATTTTCGGAGCCGTATCGGCGAAAGGCGATAACCATTTTGTTCTCTTTGTTTGTCCAGGAGATCCGCCGTAATCAAACGATGAGAGTTCTCTTTGTTAGAGGCACGTGTTTAGTTACGAGATTGTTAATTTTAACTTCCAGGCCGAGCGACTATCATAAAGTTGGATTTGCAATAACAAGAAAATATCGTTAACAGCATCACGTGCGGGGAGACTCATAAATCTTCGTCAAAATAGGATAGCTACTTTCTTATCTCAGTGTTACTGAGAGAATTCATAAGTAAAGGAAAGCTACGGCAGCTCGGAGATTTTTTGCATAATTTTTCTAAAAGCGCTATCACCGCTATCGTCTTATCGCTCTCTGTCTTTACTACGCGGAGTTTGTATGTCGTCAGAATTTCGTTTAATTTAGACTTTCGTAATGAGCTTGAAAGAAGGACACGATGTATCCTGTATAATTACCACTTTGTTAATGGACGGTACTTTAAATATTATATAATTAAATTAACGATAATAATTATTACGAGGAGCGTTTTCGAAGGAAAAAGAAAGGGAAGCTCATTTTTAAATAATTATATTAATTTTTCACAAAATACTTTTTTTTTGTAGATGAAATAGATGTGATTCCCTGATTACGATCAGTCTATTTAAAAACAATTAATGGAGTTGATAGGTCGAAGGCTATTTTAAAAATGAGATGACATAAACTTTTCCATCTTGTTCTATTGTTCCTGGAAAGATTTCATCCTGCATATGTGTCTGCAAACATCTGCGTTGTACCGCTTAATAAGGAGGAGAGGCTCGAACAAAAGGCAGCGCTCGGTGAATGTCGAAAAAAAGAGGTGTAGGAGATGGTGAGGGAGATATTCCGTGTTGCGACATCCTCGCGGTCCACGTCTTGGTCTTGATATCTACGTAGCGGTATCTTATGTTGTGACCTAGATACAACGAGCGATATTACAAACTCTATCTCTCGCATCCTAATATTTATGTTATTTATTTTTTTCTTTAGCAAGACGCATGGAAAATTTCGTCAATTAAGTTAAAATGGACATAACGTAAACGGTAGTCAAGTTGTCACATCACGTGTGTTTGTAGAATATAAATTTTATATGTGGCTTGTCTTCATACATTCGATACAATTCTGTGAATCCACCTTAACATTTGCTTTAACATTTAACATTTCGTAATTCGATATTTTATAATGAACTTTAAAAGGACGCTTTATATAATAAGAAGAAAAGAACTTTCTTATCTTTTAGCATTGGAGGAATGTTTTTCTTTCTGCTAAACTTTTGTCGTTAAGATCGTCATTATTTTAACAAGAGATCTTTTCCATGGCGGCATGTATTTCCCGAGAAACGCGGGACGTCGCAGAACAAAAAGTGCGACGAATAAGTGCAACTTTGATATTTCGTCATTTCGAGATTTATCGAGATTTTCTCAAGGAATAACGTACAAGAGAAGTAGCACTGTGAGAAACTGAAATTTTGCCCGATCCATTGGCAGCAAAGAGACAGAAGTTTGCCGAGGAACGGATTGCAAGGATTCGGCCGATATCGAAGAAAGAGATGTGGGAGGAGGTGGTGTGGCAAACGCAGACAGTTGCGACACATTCTCTCGTGGTCTACATTCGCCCCCCGATAGTTCAAGAGTGCAGAGTCCCTCTCTTTCTTTCTCCCACCTTCGCCTTTCTCGATGTCTTTCCTTCGTTTCCTCCTTCCCGTTCCCGTGCTATATAACGCTGTTCTCTCCTCCCCGTCTCCCCTCCCTTTCTCCCCCCGTCCCCTGCCCCTCCCTCCCCCCGTCGTTCCTATCTCTAGAGCGAGATATAGTTTAGATCGTTACGCGTCGCGGCTTTCACTTTTCCGCCTCTCGAATCCGCCCCACTCCACCGCGTCGCGAGATGTGGGTGAGAATCAGACGACTGTTGTTTACCGCCGCAGCTGCAGCCGCAGCTGCAGCCGCAGCCGTAACAATGCCGCGACGATTCGCCACTTGCCTCTGCGCCAATCTCGATCGTTCCAATTACTCTCACCTGCGACACTTCAAGTGTGCTCGGAAATATCTGTGAGGTCAGGCTCTTTTTTTTTTCTCGATTTACACAAAGATTTCGATCTTTAATGAAGCGCCATGCTTCTCTTTCTTTTTTAAAATTGACTCTTTAATTATTTATTAGCAACTGCAACCGTACAATGCCGCGATGATTCACCACTCACCTTTGTGCCTCGATTTCGGTCTCGATTGTTCTAATTATCTCACCTGCGTCGCGACACTTCAAGCATACTCCGAAAGCTCGAAATATCTGTGTGAAGTCAACCTCTTTTTTTTCCCTCGATTTATACAAAGATCTTTAATTAATTTAGTCTTCTTTTATTATTAATTTAATTTATTCTTTAATGTCTTTTAAGAGATTGTGTAGGTTCAAGAATTTTTGTAATTATGCCTTGACGCGTAAGATTACATATTTGCGTTCTCTGGAACTTTTTTATAAGGATAATAATGCTAAATGTGTATGTTTAATTTAACGAGAATAATAAATGGATGACACGTGGATGACATTTGCATTAGTAGCGAGTACAATGCTTGCCACGGGGAGATCGTAAATCCAATAAAAAAAAAAAGTAAGATAATTGTGTGCGTACATGTGATTACCTGAAAATCGAATAAAAAGTTATATCGTAATAGCATTGTAGAACGCCGCAGAGCATTGCGGTCGCAGAATGTAAGAATGTTCTATTTAAGGCGACCAACGCAGGAACAAAGTAAGCGTATGGCGGAGCTTTGAAATCGATCGCAAGGAAAAAGGAGCACGCGGAATTAGTTTCCTTATCATATCAAACGTTTTACGATTAGCAGACTCCTATTTCGCTCGCGCTTTATTAGATTGTCTCGTCTTTGAGGCACGCTTTGGCACTTTTAAATCAATAACATTATCCGGTCGTAAACCGTCGCCGCTACGCTAAGAGGATACTTGGTAATTTTATCGTCGCCGCTTTATTATTCCGGCGTAATCTCTTTTTCGCGGAAATCACGACTTCCCGGGCGCCGCAGTCGCGCGGATTTATACGGCGTTCGCGCATCCGAAATTAATCCCCCCATGAAGCACCACGAGGACGAGGAAGATAGAAAAAAAAAAAAAAAAATAAGAAGAGATGGAAATTCCATCGGCGGAATCTCGCGGCGGAATTTCACGAGATCGATATATGTAAATCCGGTGTTCGACGAGACGGTTATGTAATTAACGATTAAACGATTTTAACGTTCCCCCTCTCCCCCTCCCCCCCCCTCCTCTCCCCGATTAATTTCCGCAGTTGGGGTTTTATATTCCGCGACGAGACGCGCGCGGGCTCGCGGATTCGCTACGTGCCGCGGAAGGCGTTCATTCGTTTGGGTGTCGTTCCTCACCCGGCGCATCGCGATGGATCACGATGGGAGAGAGTGCGAGTACCTTGATAAATCACGGTAGGCCAACACGTGGCCTAACATTAACGCTCTTATTATTTACGATCGGTTCGCGCGCAGCGCGAGCCCACGCACCGACGCATCACGCACGTGATAATTTATCACGCTACGGGAGATCAACGTTTCGCACTCGCGGCACACTCGGTGCGGACGACGCGGAGATCCTGACGACGGGACCCACTTTCCTTTGTGATACTCTATTACAGAGCCGACGTAATAATTTCACGCGAGAGGCAATGGGCCGAATATTGTATTTTAATACGTACTAACAATGTCCCGTGTAAACGTAAGCCTGCTACGACGAGGTGATCTTAACGTCGCTTAACGATACTTAGGACTTTTGTGACATTTTATCGCGTATCGGTATTTATTTAATTAATGTATTCGAAATTTTTTTCTGGTAAAAATTTAATTAAATTCCAAGGCATATTTTTTACAATGACGTATGTGTGGAGGAAAGTTCTTTGGAAAGGAAGATAAAATGTGAAAACCGTCGCGCCATTTCTAATCGCTTAAGTTAAGCTTTATCTCGATCGATCTTCATCTTTTCCGAGAAATTATCAAGATACGAAATCGGGGAAACGGTATCGCGATGAAATAATCGTGAAATCGGCGAAATCTCCGCGGGATCTCTCGTGAAATTCACGCAAAAATGAGCTCGGGGTCTACCCCCCCCTTCTCTCTCTCTCTCTCTCTCTCTCTCTCTCTCTCTCTATCTCTCTCTCTATGCCGTAATCCTTGCAAAACGCTCGATTGCGTTATCATGATTAATCACCGTAATTTGATTTATCTCGGCCGGCTTATCTCCTCGCCGTGAATTATCATTTGTTGATATATCCGTGCGTTTGAGTTAGATATGTCCCTTAATTGCACGCGAGTTTGCATTATGCATGCCGGGCGGGTGATTTGCACGTGATTCACAAATGCATGCGGGCGCGCAATGTGTGTGTGCCGCGCGTTGCATGCGCGGGATTTGCGAGATCTCCTGATGTAATTTCGAGGCTCTCGCATTAGCGCTGAATTGTAGAACCTACGTAACGTAGCGCCGCTCTAAGAGCCAGCCACCCATCGAAAACGGCGGCGGCCGTAAGCCGTTAATTTGGCCGTGGCAGGCTGCGAAACGGTTAATTAAATTCATTCCGGATTACATCCGCTGATTTAACCATCGCGAGAATCCCGTCGGCGGGAAGCGCGTCAGCGTAATCGGGCACATACGCTCGGGTAACTGGATCGTTTGGCTCTTTCGAGGGAGGAGGGGGGGGGGGAGTGACCAGGGGATGAGAGCCAAGACGATAAGGCGTCTCCTCTTCATTTTCGCGCGACGTCCGCAACGCTTGGCGCGTTTAACGTGCCTGCCTCGATTCCCTCGGCGCGTTACAGAAATGTGATGATTCAATAAACGCGATCGAACGACGGGTAATAACGTGCGTCTTTATGCATCTCGCCGGAGATGTAAAACTCGAGATATAACCATTTTATTTCACGCTTCATCGTAGCGTAAGAAACTTTGTTCGTTTGCTCGTCGATGTGGCAAGACGAACCTTTTCAAAGGGGAGGAGGGGGGGAGGGGATTGCGAAGAGCGATGTAAATCTAAATGCTTTCGCTAATAAAAGGTATATAATTTCAAGCTAAAGTTCGAGAAACTTAAAGATAAATGGCGTCATTCGTTGAACGAATGTTTCCGTCAAACTTTTCGACTGTTTCCGACCGTTTTTCCGAATTTAAGAAATTACGACTCTCGTTCAATTCCACCTTTAAAAAAATAAAAAGAAACAATCGATCTCGTTCGTAAGAGAGATTCGCACGAGAGAGAATAAAAAAAAATGGAAATTTATTTTATTTTACCTGCCTGAGTCTTTACGGAATTTCCGCGCTACCGAGGAAAGTAACGGGAAGTTTTATCTCGAGCGGTAGGTCGCGCCTCGAGATTTCGAGTAATCGAGGGCGAAGGGACGGAACCGGTTGCTTGCTGTACACCTGGGACTGAATAAACACACGCGACAAAACACCATGAAGTCCCACGACAGTCCCGGCTCGCGCACTTTTCTGGCTGCAGAATGAGCCGCTCGACCGTATCGCCTTAACGAGAAACGGGAACCGGAAGCGGAAACCCATCCTCGGGGATCCGGGAACAGGTTTGCCGCCGCGTGGCGCGTAATTGCCGTGCTGCTTTTGTTACACGAAAACAACGACGAATATAAGTATAATGTTATAAGTCACTCTGGCGCTCTTTGCCGCTTCTCTTCCGCGACGGGGAGAGACCTGGAGAAAGGACGATTCTCGTTTCCTCGTTAGAGATCATAAGAAAACAAGTGCTCGATGTTTCGATCGAATATCTTTAAAGTTTGCAAACATTTTCGAGAAACTCGTTCAAACGGGGGAAAAAAAAAACGTCGTTATAACGTGTGAGTAATACTTTGCAGGGTATCGCCTGGATACCCTGTAATTTAATGAAATTTGAAAAACTTCGAAGCACAGTCAACTTAGATTATGCATGCCTAACCAGTTATTATTAATTGTGATTAAGCACGCGCAATGCAATAAATTTCATTTTAAGATCTTGTAAGGTCTTGTCAAGATTCTGTCATGCAAATAAAAAGTTTTTTTCCATGCAAAATGTGAGGATTAAAACTTGCGACATCTTTTTTTTTTTCTTTAGCGAAATTGCGTATAATTAATTTAATATTTTAGCGAAAATGCGTATAATTAATTTAATATTTTTAAACACACGCACGTTTCCTCTCGCAAAATATTTTCAACTTTTGTCCTCAAGAATATTTTTAACCGTAACCTTTTATGATTTTAGAAAAATTACAGATCTTAAATGTCATTATTTTATAAGAGAGAAAAAAAAGTAAAAAAGCGATTATTCTCCAAGTCATCGTCGGACGCGTTTCTTTGCGTAATTTTCTAATCCCCGAGTCATCGATCCTTTTATCCTCGTCAAAAAAACTGACTACGACGATGGAAAAGAAGAATGGATGACATTTTTAATGTTATCGACATCGTTAATCGTGACAATTTAATTGGAAACCACTTTGACACAGCGCACTCCCGTACGCTAATAGTGCCTGTGCTAATGCACGACCGCACACGACATCAATATATTGAATTGTAAATGCACCCGACGGGAAATTAATTTTCAAGCGGTGAGTAATGGAGCAAAAAAATCATTTTATACAAAAGTGTTTTGGCCGCGAATATCGTTTGCACGGTGTGTCGATGTGTTTATTGCGAGGCAGGACGGGGCATTGTGGCGGCGTTATCGATCGGCCCCGAACGAACCTCGATCACAATATGCAATATGTGTACGCCCGATCGTTTGTCTTCGACATCATTATTAATACATCAGCGTTCGAAGAGCGAAAGTTATTTTCGACCGGTTATTTTCGGGAAGTCGTTTTTAAATGAAGATTGAAGGATTTGAGCGAAAATGCAGCGTTCAAATGCAGCGCTACATTCGCAGCTGCTATCTTTAGAATATTGGTTTTCCGAAGATCTGCTCGTTCATTGTTGATTGATATTCAGCATATTTGAAATCAGTTATCGTTAATACGTTTTCTAAAAGAAAAGAGAAATCGTGAAAAAAAAAGTAAGCTTTCGGACGGAGATTCATTTTGAAAGCCGGGAAAAATGAGAAAAACAAAAGTATGTATGCATGTATATTCCTCTCTCTCTCTCTCTCTC